TGTACTTTTTTTTTTTGCTGTTTTTAATGTCAAGTCTGCATATGTGCACAGAGGTTACTGGGAGGGAGGTTGTGGTTAACCTCCAATATATATTTGTAACTTTTCATTTAATTTCATTTCATTTGTAAACATGGAGGAGCATATACCCTAGCACTGAGTGTCTCCCTTGTGGATTTTTTAACAACATGGGAGGGTCAGCCATCTCTATTATATAGATAATGAATGCTGTGTTTTCCAGAGCAAACTATGGTGCTGAATGTGTGTGACAGGACAATGACATTTTGTCAAAAATCATAGCCTCACTGTGTAAATTGCCTGTAAGCATCCATGTGAAGTACTGTGCTTGATTAGACCTCTCTGTGTTTTAAAACAATATTAAGTGACATATCACATGGATCCTATAAATAATATCTGTGAAAAGTTATTGCAAGAAAGGCTACTTCCAGTGAATGCAAAGATTCAGTGCCCTGAGGAGATAAAACTCACATTGTGATAACTGTTCCCATTGGTGCAACCTCTACATCTTGTCCAGGCCTAAGCTAGGGTTGCCAGGCTTGACTTGGCAATCAGCAGAAGACCAGGAGTAATGGGGAGATGACTGCTGGTAACAGCATAATATCACTTCTGGGAATCCCCACCCACCCAAAGTGATGCCATACCTTTCTAGGAATCACTGTAAACTTTATGGTAAAACCATAAAGACAGAAGTGGTTTTAAAGTTTCCAGAGATCCCTACCTGTATAACATCACTTCTGTTTTCCCCGCAAAATTGACATCATGATGTCACGAATGCCTTTTTAGGGTTTTTTTTTCTTCCCATTGGCCTCTGGAGTGCTGATGGTAATGCCTGCTTGTGTTATAGTGCTTTGGAGGAAAAGGAGTAACATCATCCTGGTTCCTTATTTATTTATTTATAAATATTAAACAGAAATACAGTACTGCAATGTTGAAATTACATAGAATACAATAAAAGTAACCGATATGACATCAAATATATTTGTATTAACTCTGACTCAGTAACAACAAACTTAAAATAACTAATCCTATATCCAACAATAATTCAACAATAATTGACTATACAAAAGAGTTATAGAAATAGTATTCCTTTAGGGTGAGAGAAATGGAAAACTGATTCATTGATGGCAATAAATTCGATTGTTGGATACCACATTTCAATAAAACAGGAAACATACTGATTCGAATCAAATTGGGTTTGCTGATCTAATATTTTTTCCATTATATATATATCCCATATTTTATACCGATCTGATAGTGAAGGTTTGTTATTTTTCCATAATGTTGCAATAACTAGATGAACTGCAGCAAATAATAATGCTATCTCTGTATTGTTCCAAAGATTCAACAGCGTTATCTCTGGCTTTAGGGGAACTGAGTATTTGTGATATTAAAAATTTGGTATCAAATTTGATTCCAAAAGGACTGGATATATCTACAGGACCAAGTGTGGAAATAAGAACCTTGATCACCACACTGTTTCCCGTGGTTCCTTTCTACCCTGCAACGGTGACATAAGTTGCACTCCATGGCAACATTTCCCCCAAAAAATCTAGGGCCATAATAATATGGGAGGAATATGGGATTTCTTCAAGTGGCCCAGAGCTTCTGGAGTTATTTTCAAGGCTCAAGGAGGAGTCAGTTCCCGCATTGCAATGGTAACATCAGGAGGGAGCCTTGCTGTGTAACTTGCAGAAAGGCTTTGTACTGAAGAGAAGAGATTTTTTTTTAAAGACAGAACTGGACTGCTGAAGGCACAAGAAACCAATACATGTACAGTATACATTTTAATAGTCTAGATTATAATAACATTGTCCTCAAAATTATTTTTTTCTAAATGATCTCTCTCTCATGTCTGAAAACAGAAGGCAATTCAGTTTGAACAGTTGGCCAGTACTCCTATTGACAAAATGGTTACTGGTTACCAATATAATAAAGTTTTAGTCCAGTGGTACCTTTAAGACCAACAAATTTTTGTTCAAGGTGTAAGCTTTCATGTGCATGCATACTTCTTCAGATACATTGAAATGGAAGTTACCAGTCCATACATATAGGTAGAGGGTGAGCAACAAACTGGAATAACAAGCTTAGTTTATATGGTCACCATTTGTTTGGTTTAATTCTGGGGGGGAACAGTGAAAGAAACTGATAGATTACATTACATTCTACTATTCATTACATTACGATCTACTATTCTGATCTACTATTCCAACTAAGAAATAAATAAAATAAAATAAAATAAAGAGGATATATAGCCCTTCTGGGGTATTGGTGAGAATACAGATGTAAGCACTGAATGACATTAGCACAGGTAGTGAGATAAGAAACCAATATCCCTGTTAAGTCCTGGGGATTCCATTGTTCTGAGTATTGTAAGAACTTGTAACTCAGCAATTTCCATTTCTAGCCCTGAAGTTTCTTTGCAATAAAGTGGCTACTTTGAGGTCACCCACTGAATGTCCTGGAAGACTGAAGTGTCCACCTACAGGTTTATCAGTCTTGTGATTCTTGATGTCAGATTTGTGTCCATTTATCTTTTGACATAGGGTTTGACCTGTTTGCCCTATGTAGAGAACTGAAGGGCATTGTTGGCATTTAATGACATATACAGTGTTAGAAGATGAGCAAGTGAATGAGCCTGAGATAGTGTAGTTGATGTTGTTAGGTGCAGTGATTGTGTTCTCTGGGTGTATGTGGAAGCAAAGTTGGCATCTGGGTTTATTGCAGAATCTGGTATCAGTGTCCGTGTTCAAGTTAGATGTTGTATTATTGTGGGTGAGAAGTTGTTTGTTGGGGGTCTGTCTGTGTGCAAGAAAAGGTCTGCCCCACAGTGTTACAGAGAACTGTCATGATTCAGTAGAAGATTCACTGATGATGCATTGAACTGTTTTTAGTTGAGAGCTTTTTGTGACTATTAGTGGTGTACTGTTATTGTCTCTTTGGGGCCTGTCATGTAATTGGCTTTCTCTGGGTATTGTTCTGGCTCTGTTAATCTGTTTCTTAACTTTATCAGGTGGATATTTTAATTCCAGAAAGGTTTGTTGTGGATGTCTCAGGTGAGAATTTCTGTCTGTAGGATTGAAACAGATGTGGTTGTAGTGTAGAGCCTGATTGTAGACAATAGATGTTTCGGATGGTAGCTGGATGCATATACATATGTTTGTCCATCAGTAACTTTTGTCATGTTTTTGTAAAATGGTGTCCAGAAAACGTATTTCTTGCATTTGTCCATCAGTAACTTTTGTCATGTATTTGTACAATGGTGTCCAGAAAACATATTTTGTGCATTTGTCCATCAGAAAACGTATTTCTTGCATTTGTCCATCAGTAACTTTTGTCATGTATTTGTACAATGGTGTCCAGAAAACATATTTCTTGCATAGACTGGTTCATTGTCACGTTAATGGTGGGGTGAAAGTTGTTGAATTCCTGGTGGAATTTGTCCATGGCTTCTTTACCATATGTCCAGACAATAAAGATGTCATCAATGCAATGCAGGTATAAGACAGGTATCTAAGGATAGTTGCTTATAAAAACAGTATTTTTAAGTTTTCTTTGAGCCTCCTGGATGTTGTCAGAACTATCCATGATGACAACAGCTCCACCTTTGTCTGCTTCTTTAATTATAATATCTGAATTGTTCCTGAGATGGTCTATGGCCTTCCTTTCAGCATGGTTGACAGTTTGTTGTATATGTGATGGTGTTTGTTGTTTACATGTGGTTTGGACTCTATGGCAAAAGCACTTGATGTAGAGATCCAGTGTGGCATTGTGACCATCAGGAGGAGTCATTGTGGAGTCTCGGTTTTTTGTAGTATAGTTTTGATGGCAGTTGGTGGTTAGTACGGAAGACAGGAGGGCATGATTTGGTCCATGGGGTCGCGAAGAAAACCATACCTAGTTGGTGGTTAGTACGGTAAACAGGAGGGTCTGGCGTGATTTGGTCCATGGGGTCGCGAAGAGTCGAGCTCAAATGTGCGACTGAACAACAACAACAACAACAACATTTTGTTCGTTAGTGAGTTGGAGGGATGGTAGCTGTTCTCCAGTAAATTGTGTGATAATATGTTGTGAAGATGTTATCTGCTCTTTCTTGTCCTGTTCTTGGGTATGTTGAAAGTAGTCCTTCAGGCAAAGACTGTTACAGGTGCAATGCTGGTACAATATTAGACCTCTCAAGAGCTGGATCCGAGAATCTGTTCCACTAACAGCGGTGTTCCCCTGGTAAACGGAGCCTTCCCCTGATGCAGGAATCTCTTCTGCTGAAGACTCTAGCATCAAGTTAAGGCTCCTTGTGCTGTGGCTGGCAACTTATGAAAATTGGTCTGATCCAGCAGGCTCTTCTTATATTCTTGTAATCTTTTGCTGCGGAAGAATTGGAAAATCCAACCCCGCATCAATATTTTAAATGCTGATTCGATCTTTCAGGGATGTGGAATGGTATACTATAGCCCGATATTATCAAATCTCAGAAGTAGGATCAGTATTTCAATGGGAGACCGGCAAGGAAAACTTTGCAGAGGAAGGCAATGGCAAACCACCACTGCTTACTCACTTGCCTTGAAAACCCTGTGGGGTTGCCATAAATTGGATGCATTTAAGGATCAGTCAGCATGTTTAAGGATTAGGAAATAATAACTGAAAAGCTCTTTGGAGGTGTTTATGTAAGCAGGAATCATATTGTGGTAGCATACTGAACTGACCACAGGGTCCTTCGAATGTTGGGCATCTTCCAATAACCCATCGTTCCTTAGAGATCTTATTATATTGCAATCATAAAATCACCTGAGAGAAAATGTGAACCCACTCTCCATTTGACCTCCTGACTGATCCTCCATTCTGGTTGTTTTCTATATAACCTTGAATCAGAGACAAAAAAACCTTTTGAATGATGGCATAAATAATTAGCCATGCATAAGAAAAAAGCAAAATGAATTAACAATGAATTTTGAATAAGAATTTTAAATGTTTTTATTCTTCTTTAGCTTCAGAACCAGCAATAAAAAAAGAAGCAAGCTCAGCTAAAACAGGTAACGGAATGACTCTTTCATATCTTGTAATGGAGAATACATGCACTTCATAGAAATTATGATAGTCTTTTAAGTAAATTCTTCTCACATAGTACTGGTGAAGTTGAAGGGCATAAATATCCATACATCTTAATTATTCATATATTTCAATACAATATTCAGTTCTTATTACCAATAACAGGAGAGCCAGTTTGGTGTGGCGATTAAGAGTGGTAGACTCTAATCTGGAGAACTGGGTTTGATTCCCCACTTCTCCACATGTAGCCAGCTGGGTGACCTTGAGTCAGCCACAGTTCTTTCAGAGCTGTTCTCTCAAGAGCAGTTCTCTCAGCCCCACCTACCTCACAGGATATCTCTTGTGGAGAGAGGAAGGGAAGGAGATTGTAAGCCACTCTGAGTGGAGGGTGGGGTATAAATCCAATTCTTCTTCTTCTTCCTCTTCTTCCTCTTCTTCCTCTTCTCCCTCTTCCTCTTCTTTTCTTCTTCCTTTTCCTTTTCCTCTTCTTCCTCTTCTTTCTCTTTTTCTTCTTCCTCCTCGCCATTCATCTTCTTCCTCCGCGCCATTCATAATTGCATGCTACCTTTACTTTCTAAAGTAAAACATTACAGTTGCTAACCTGAGGTTACTATATTCTCTGTTTAATGTAAATATATTACTTTATCAACAGAAACACCATTAATTTTGTTTACCTGTCAACCAGTATGACATTTTAAAGCACAGTCTGTGGAGATTGGCCAAACAGTTAGGGTTACTGGTGTTCTTTTTCAAGTAGTAGAAATAGTATTACAGAAAAGAAATTCCAAACAGAATTTGTGTTCTAACTAATCCTTTTAGAGGCAACTTGAAACTTAGGTTTAACTATATAATCATGGTATTTAATGATATGAACTTGGATACTATCTAGATTTCCACAGTACAAGACAGCAATTTTTGCTGATTCCTCTTTCCTATGGTATCCCAAAGCACATCCTGAAATTCTGTTCCTGGGAGATGACACCCCTCCAAAAAAAACCCAGCTTATGAGTGGGTTCAGAGGTCCTGTGTGGGAAGGGGGAGTCAGCAAAACCTACCCCTGTTGCACCCATGGAAATCTAGGCAGAATCCAAGGCATTATTTTATTGTGTAAATGTGACTTTCTGCAAGATTGTGCTACAGGGGTTATCAAGAGGTCTCCCATCCAAGTACTGACCAGACCCGGACACTAACCTGCTTTGCAAGGCCAGGGTTGTTGCATCATGTAATTAAAGACCATACTTTGGGCCTCTTTAGCCATCCTTAACACCAGCATTCCAAAACACTTTGTTCAGTTGAGCTGGCATTATAAAAACATTATTTATATTACAAAATTGATGTGGATATTATGGATGAATCGGCAGCTCACACAAATGGATCTTTCCTTTGCCCCAGCAGCCCTCAAAACTCCCTCAAACACTTTGCTGAAGTCAGGTTGACCCTCATGAACAAAATCCCATGTGGCTCCAGGGGAGCTGTAATGAGGAGGAAGAAGACTGAGGGGTGTTTTCCCCCCCTTTATTTCTCCTCACTACAGCTCCCAAGTGCTCCACAAAGGTCTCTTGGCCCTCAGCAAAAGGTTTTCAGAGCACACAGAGCCTATTGGGGGGGGGGGTTGAGAAAGATATTTTTGCATGAGCTTTTTCTGATTTCACATCTGTAAGATTCATCCCAACATTATCATTTAAAAGTAGGACTTCACAATAACTGAAATGATATAGTCATTTATAAAATATCAACAGAAAGAAAAATGTTCACTTCCCCCATTTCTCTTCATGTTTTCTAATCTAAAGTCATGTTCTCCTTGTTATAAAGCAAATCAGATGCCAACAACAGTGGCGTCTATTTCTTATTGACCATTAAATTTCATCAGGAATAACCATTTATCCTCTACCAGTTATGCATTCAGTTTCCATTAAGATATAAATATGTACTTTATTTTATTTACAATTATTCTAGCACCCAAAGTGATAAAAGAAGCCAAAGAAATTTCTCATCCTGTTGCTGGAGGTGAGTAATCTCTTACACTCTTTTTAAGAGTTAAGTGTCCAGAATGATTTTTAATGTGAATGCATGTTAATGCGTTAGTGGGGGAGGGCACCAAGCTTTCAAGCTACACAGAAAGATGTGCACATTTGAAGATCAGCAGTAGCTTGTACAGTACTTTGTTGGAGAACTACCATCACCAAGTACCACTCCAATGGGGAGAGAAGGACCTGATACCTTTAGTAGAAGGCAATGCATCACAAAATGACAATGTCTAGTTATTTAGCTTAATTATAACCTACCTTTCTCACTGTGACTCAAGGTGAATTACACAGTACAGGAAGAGAAAAAATGCAATCTTATGGTCTAGGACATTGAATGAACAATGCAATAGGACTAGGAATACAAAACTGAATCCCAGTAGCAGTCCAATAAGAATACATGTAAAAGATAAAGGTTCCCTTGCTCGAAAGCCAGTCGAATCCGACTCTAGGGTTGCGGTGCTCATCTCTGTTTCAAAGCCGAAGAGCCAGCACTGTCCGAAGACGTTTCCGTGGTCATGTGGCCGGCATGACTAAACACCAAGGTGCACGGAACGCTGTTACCTTCCCACCGAAGTGGTACCTATTTATCTACTTGCAATTTCTTGCTTTCGAACTGCTAGGTTGGCAGGAGAAGAATACATGGGGACCTGATAATCCCTAACACAGCAGGCAGACAACTGCTGATATAGTAGTAGTACGCAGGATGGACTCAGGACATTTTATCAGCAGTCAGTGCCAGGCATTTGTACCCACTCAGGAGCTACATACATGTGCTGCCCTACCCCATGCAGAGGTTCTCAGAGGTGGAAGCTGATAGCCCATCAGTAAACTGCTACAGGAGCCACTGCTGTTTAAGCTCTGACCTGTTGAAGGAACTGAGTGGAATGCACCCACTGTGACATTGTGAGGAATTTGTTATGAATAGGTTCTGTTCTGTGTAAGTCTTGTTTATATCTGTTCTATACATATAAAACTTGCTATGTAGTTCTGCCAACACAATCCATCTGTGTAGCACAATTTCCATTCCTACTGGTGTGCCTGCGTAGGAATAGCATGACAACATTGTAATTAACTTTCTGACATGAACTGAAGGGGAAAGCATTTTAATTACTTATAGTCATTTTGTCTTATCCTTAGTTATGTCAAATACTTTCTCATGGCTGGCACACATTTTAAACTTCACTGCACTGAGTATTCCCATAGATGTGTAGTCACATGGAAATTAACATCTGAGATGCTGAGACCACATTGTCAGGCAAACTTTGGTTCACATAAAAAATACAACTGGTTAAAAAGTGAGCTGTCATGTGAACATAAGAACATAAGATATGCCAATGTTGGATCCCAAAGGCCCATCCAGTCCAACACTCTGTCACACAGTGGCCAAAAATACCAGGCGCCATCAGGAGATCCACCAGTGGGGCCAGGACATTAGAAGCCCTCCCACTGTTGACCCCCCTCCCAAGCACCAAGAAGACAGAGCATCACTTGCCCCAGAGTCCCTATCTGCACTGGCAACTGTGAGGAAACAGTATTGTCAAAGGTCATGGCAGATCAGCCATTTTGTATCATAGAAACTCCATGTGGGGCAGTTTTAAATTGCCACATATGGTGGATTTCACCACAGGGTGTACCATGGATTCACAATCTGTATCAGAGGATTTTCTCCTTGCCACTGCTGACCTTTCCCATAATTAATAGTTGTGGGGAAAGTAAGGAAAACGTACTCTGAGCTCAAGGGTGAGGGCAATGTACTCTGTGCATGTACAAAGTTGTTTATTTGATCTGAAGCATGCGTAATTCTCTTGCACAAGAGGGCTTTATTGTCATTTCCATGGAGGGACGTTTCTGTGCATATGTGGAGCTGGTCTCTGCACAGAAGTTGACAGGGAGTCTCTTGTGGGTTCTGTTCATACTTCAGAGCTCCTCTTGTTGTATGCAGTCAATGGATTAGGGCAACTGCCTTTACGATAGTTCAGTATGTTCCAGAGCCAAGACTTGGAATTAAAAACAAACAAACAAACAAACAAAAACTGTATCTAACAGCAGCTTAATGAGACATAACACAAACTATGCCATCAGAGATCTAATTTATCAGTAATGTATACTAAGCATTATAATACAATTATTCTCAAATAAACTATTCTAACTGTTCTTGTCATTTTTACCTCTCTGCTTTCATAAGCAACTAATGGATACACCCGTGGCTACCCATTATACTACAGTAGAAATAGGGAAGCATGGATAAAGCCATGGTAAAGAATGATTTTGATAGCATTACAAACTAAAATGCAATTATAAGAAATGATGCACTTTTCTTTCTACTACACCTACATGTAAAGGTGAACATGTGCTTTAAAACTTACGGATCAAATAAATGATCTAAACAGCACTGCAGCCTGACATGTCATATTTTTTTCATTTCAACTGAGTAAAATTAATGACTGTAGAATAATTACTGTTCTGTGTCATAACAAGCACACTTTTTATTTTCACTGTGTGCATAAAGCCACCCGTGAACATGCCCTCCTGCTTACACACACCCACACACACACACACACACACACACATCCACATCCACATCCACTCTGTTACATCCTGTAAATTAGTGTCACTTAGACTGAACAGTTGACATGCTACTCTGTATCAGAAAACATGTTCTGTTTTTAGTGCTACTAGTTCATGGTTCACTTGGCAGAAAGATTTTCATTCTGAATCCTTATTGGCAGCCAATTTGCAAGACTGTGCTACAGATAATTAATACCCTTCCAGCATTCTGAAAAGAAAGCAAGACTCAGTAGAAACTTGAAAAGGCTTATAAAAATAGTAACTAATGACACCAAGCCTAAGTACCAATATCTTGGCATAAAAGACTCTGGTACCAACTATGTCAAGAGGCTCCTAACTAGCACGCAACTGGTGTTCTGTGTTTGACAACTTTCTGTGATATGTGTGGTAATAAATTGGTATGGTAGGCTACAATCTCCTAGAAATCACTGGCATATATTGTGCCACCATTTTATTGAGGCTTGCCTTCTTATGATGACTTATAAGAAGCAATATCCTAAAGGAATGTGTCCCTGCTGTTTCAGCTTCAGGGGTGCTGATATGCATTTATACAAAACTTTTCTTCACTTCAAGGGGCTACCCAAGCAAACTCCCATGATGTGTAATGATTTAAGCATTCTGGCATTCCAAATGACATGGAACAAGTGCTTGGGTTTATTTATTTATTTTTGCATTGTTGGAAAGCTGTACTTATTTATATATAGCTAGCTATGCAGTTGCTTTCGTTATACAGTAGATCATTGCTAGAATATGCTTTGCTTTTATGTACTGTACTCATATTATTTTATGTACTGTATTTAGAGTTCAAATATGTTTCTTCTGCAAGTTTTATGGGTGAATTTTATAGAGGTTAGGTGGCGTGAATGAATAAAACTCATTGACTTGTATTGTTTTGTATTTTGAGGCAAGAGTATAAACTGCCAAGTACGGTGCTAAAACTAGAGAGCAGAATTTTTTAAAAGATACATGAGCAGTTGTCATAGATAGTGTTATTGGGCAATGGAAAAGTCCACACTAGGAGCACAGAACTTTGGCAATGTTATGTTACTAATTTTTTTAAACGTCCTTTTGATGTTGCTGTTTTCTTCCCCCAAAACTGAATGCTACTGTTCTTTTCTGGTTCCTTACTTACTATGCAATACCCCTTGATAACACATGTATTTTGGCAGTTTTGTTTTCATGTCTCACTCCTAGTTCTTTTAATCCCATTTTATATTACATCTTATAAATGAGAGTATAATACGTGAATATATGCTCACATACACAAACATGCACAGGGTTTAGTACACACACTTGGCTGTTTATATCACAAATATGCAACAGGGCCTTTTTTGCATGGCTGTAGAACTCAGGAAATTTAGCTGGACCTTTCACTTCTGGGCTTCTGCTGAGCTATAAAAATGATTTACTCTGGAGGACTTTTGCAAAGAGGTATTTGGGGCACCCACCTTGTCTGCTTAGTAAATAGAATCTCACAAAAATGCAAGAAGGAACCAGACTGGTGTGACATATACATGTAAATAGGTTTATATAATATAATAGATATTAGTTTGATAGATTTTGGTGGGGGGGGGTTGCAAATTTCTGTCTTTATTATTAGAACTGTGTATGGAATGTAGTTTACTCCTTCAGTCCTCTAGAGCTGGAAATCCTTTCAACGAAAACTGCAGACAATTGCAGCAGATGCTATAAGAAATAACAGGCTCAAGATTCTGTCAGTACTATCCTAAGTAGAGTTATACCTTTCTAAATCCATTAATGTCAATGGGCTGAGAAGGGTGTTTCTCTGCTGAGGATGGTGCTATGTGCTTCTTTCTTCATTTTGACTGTAATTTGAATGAATGGTACTGATTTCAGCTCCTTGACCTAGGGTAGCCTGGTCCCTTCATTGATCTGGCGGGGGGGTTGGAGGTATTCCGGGGCGGGTGGGGATGCCCCCAAGCTCTGATCCCAAGCCCTGCCTCTAAGAACGGCCACCTGTGGCCACCCCTCTTCCTCCCCTTCTGTGAGACAGTCCGCTCACAAAAGACCCTTTAATTGGAGCCCCCAAAGGTGGGGAAACCTCCACTCAGACCTGGGGTCTGGCAACCGTACCTTGACCTGTATGTGCTGCAAAGATCAGCTCTGTTGTACATCTGATCCCTTGTTAAAGCACCTTTACTGTTGGTTAGATATCATCAACATCAGTCTATGCCTCAGTTCTTCATCTCTTCCCTTTCCTTTAGAAGTGGCAGAGAATGCAATCATAAGATCAATTTCCTGGGAGTGGGTACCATTGAATAAAATGGCACTTAACTTCTGAACAGGCTTCCTTAAGATTGTTTCCTAAAAGAGCAATCTTAAATAGGTCTAGTCAGAATCCTACTCAGGTCTGTTCAGCGGGGCTTGCTCCCAAGAGAGTGTTCTTAGGATTGTAACTATCCTGGAGTAACTCTGCCTAGGATTGTACTGTAAATGAATGGAGAGCAATGATTTAACCTCTTTGGGGACAAAATCCTCTCTGTTTTCCCAGCAATTGAATGTAGAATTCTCTACAGTCCTTAGGAAAACTATACATTTCTCCATCATTTGCAACAGTTAAGATTTATGAAAGATTTCCTAAATAAGATTGCTCTCAGACTTCCTTCACACATTACAAAGAACCAGTGGTACTTCTTTATGACATCTAAAGGGAATTCATATGAAGTTGCCAACAATCAGTTGAATTATTAAATGAAGACATTTAAATCATACAATGAAATACCATAGAATATAGCTTTAAGAAATTTTCACCATCTTCTGTGAAGATGGTTCTCATTCGTGGCTTTCTTTTACACAAGAGTTTGAAGGCATTATGTAAAATTATTCTCCCTTTCTGTTTTTTCCAATGTGTATCATTTCAAGTGTGAAAATTGGATATTATAAGGCTAGATGAGAAAATCCATTAAATATGCAAGATAGTAATGCACAAATTGTCTTGTCTCTCTTTGTTTAGCTACAGCACAGAAGCATCATGTACATAGTAAGTATATGTTATAGATTCATTTTATTCATGTATTTCTCATCAGAGCCCTTGGAGGTACTGCAGGAGATTGAAAAACTCCAATTCACATCTTAAAAGAGAGTGTTAACTGTTGAAAATATATCAGGTAGAAGCTGTGAAGTGTCTTTGCACCTAAAGTGGTGTGATTAAAGTATCTGTCATATGTGGTTCCAGATTCCCTACAAAAAGAAATGTATATTTGTCTGATTCTAAGATTTCTCTCCCCGTTTCTAAAAGAGTAGCATTATTAGAGTAGCTGTGCATCCAGTGATCACCAAAAAGGCATTTTAAAATAACATTTGCATGACATCTAATCTATTGATCATTTTTACCTACAGAACATGAAACTGTAAAACAGGAAAAAGCTGTTATTTCCAAACCAGGTATACTTCCGTACATTTCCTAACGTTAGTGTTCTATGTGCTGTGTGGAACTAATTACCATTTGGATTTCTTGGCTGCAGGAGGATGTATTTTTAATATGTTCTTTTTAGAGCTTGTGGAAAGCATATGAAACTTTAATCAAGCTCTTAAGTTTACACATAATTGTTGATAAAATTTAGAAAACACATTCTGAATTTCATTTCTTATACCTGCTCTTTGGTTTGGCAAGATATTATTCCACAGATGTGGCCATCAATAATACCATCAACATAGTGTTGTCTGTTGTATTTCACTACTCCAGATTTCTTCTTACACCCTAGAGGGGTTCATAAGGTTCTTCAGACAAATAACACAGTTATAGAGCTGGGGCTGCAGGAGAGAATGCTCTAAAGTAGATTATCTCAGCTAAGCATACAGATAAGAACCATATGTTTTTATAACTGTCCTCTTGACTTAGAAAAATGGAAGCTCGAAACTCTTACTTATTTATGCAAACATTTATTCAGCCAGAACACAATGATTGACAGCAGCTCTGAATTATTTTTCACTCAATAACCAGCAGTCTGATCCTAATGGGCTAGTTTGGCAGCAGTTGTGCAAATGGCTCCGTGCAGGACAGTTGTGTTGTCAGTGCCTGGATTGCTAGAGGTTGCTAGAGACTTCTGCCATGGCACAAACCTCCTGAATTTAGAACATCCTTCTCTCCTTGGTCACTACTTGAGAGTGGCAAGCAGTAAATATATGAATTCTCCTCAGCCATGACAAGGCCCGGAAGTGCTGCTTCCCCAGCTCCTGGCACTAGCTAGCATACTACATTTTATCCAGCACTGCACATTTTAAAACTTGACCTTTTTCTCACCTTTGTTAATCATATTTTCAGACGTCAGAAGTAGGCTTATCAGGAAAGGCGTATGAATTGCCCAAATGTGAACAACCCTACAATAGGGCAATTTCGTATCAGAATTCTGAAAAGCAGAAAAAAGCAGAAACCAGAAAAGCCAGTGTGGTATAGTGGTTAGAATGCAGAACTAGACTCAACAAGACCCTAGTTAGAATCATCACTCTGCTATGAAAGCTGGCTGGATGACCTTGGGCTAATTACTCTGTCTCCAGCCTAACCCACCTCACAGGGTTGCTGTGAGAATAAAATGGAGAAGGGGATAACTATGTAACAGGGCCAGCCCGAGGTTTTTTTTGCACCCTAGGCGGGGCTACCTTCTGGTGCCCCCCACGCGCACCCAATAATGGGATTGCCAACCTCCAGGCGGGGCCTGGAGAGAAGGAAGTCTAACTTCTCTCCCCCTTTGGAGAGGTGGGGAGGGGAGACCTGGGCCAAGCCCGCATGCTCTCCCTGGACCAGTACTGAAGGAAAAGCCCCCCACCCCACCCCAGACGTGGTCAGAGACAAGTGTGGTTTCCTTCACCCTGCAGGAAGCTGGGCACTTAGGTCCTGGTTCCGCACCACGGTTTGAGAAAGCCACCCGTGCAGAAAGGCCCAGTCCCATGCCCAGGAAAGGAAAGAAAGCCGAGCCGTCAGGTGGCCGGGGGGGGGCACCATAAGTGCTGCTACTCACTTTTGCTGCCCAGCCGCATCTTTGCTCAACCCTCTCAGGGGAGCCCCCCTCCCCCCACTACTTGCTGCACTTCCACTTTCTGCTCCGGGTGCAACTTCAAGGCAGCCACGCTTGGGGAAAGGAGGGAGGGAGCACACAGCCCAGCAGCACCAGCCAGCCAGCTGGGAGCAGATTGGCCAGGCACTAGTCCCCTCCGCCGGTTTCCACAGATCTTCTTTCCCAGTGGAGGGGCCCAGGAAGCGGCCCCAGCACCACCTTTCTGCTTGCAAAGAGACACGTGCAAAGAAACGCAGGGAGACGCTGCCTCGTCATCCAGGAGGGGCTCGAGGGGTCCACATCGGTACTTCTGCCCAGAGGCGCTGCACCCAGCATGAAGCCAGACCTGAGCCGGGGGCGAGTGAAGGGCTGCAGGCGCCAGGCAGCAGCAGCAGGAGGAGGAGGAGGCAGCGAGAGCAAGCAAGCGAGTGAAGGGCCCTGCCAGGGGAGGGGCAGCCCGGGCTGGGCTTGCCCCAGGATTGTCGCCCACCCAGTCAGCCAGTGATCATGGTGCAGGCTTTTGGCGGGGGCTGGGGTTTTGAGTGGGGGCTTTGGGGGGGCGGGTCTTGTTTAGCGCCCCTAAGGGCCGGCGCACTCTTAGGTGAATGCCTAGTTCGCCTAGCGGGGGAGCCGGCCCTGCTATGTAAGCCACTTAGAGTCCTGTTGGAGGGGAAGGGTAGGTTATAAATGGAATAAATAAAAATAAAACAAACCATGGCTAGGGATATTCCAGTTACTCTTAATTCATAGATGGTGATTCTTTTTCTTTTGAATTCATACTTCAGATATACCAACCCACACACTGTGGGCTTGACCTCCTGGCAATACAGGCACTGCCTCATTCAAGTGAGCAGAGCCAGTTTTGGCATCAGGTAACCTGAGGTAGTTGCCTCAGGTAGTGATTCTGGTGGGATAACAATGTCATGTCCAAGCCACCCACCCCTCCTAGCTGCCCAGTGCCTCTGCCACCTGAAAGCTAGAACAGCTAATGTTCCCAACCTTGTTTAAAAGCAGTAATGTTCCCAACCCTGTTTAAAAGCAAAGCCATACTAGCTGTATAGGATTCACTGAATTCAGCCATCATTTGGGTTGCCTGGGCAACAGTGTAATTGTCAGAGTTGCCAGGGCAGCTAAAATGATGGCCAGACTTTCATTTGAGAAATCTATCTTGCCAAAGTTCAAGAAACATTATAGGGAATACACAGTATGCCTTGCCACTCTGTTTTTAAAGAGTGGTGTCAGACTCTGGTGATGGGCTGGAGTTTTGAGTGTCTGCTTCTCCAGGGTTCCTTTGGTAGGGCTTTCCCTGGGGGAAGACCTCAGAAGAGAAGAGGGGAAGGTTACAGCACCCTCTTCCCTCTCCCACTCCTCCCAGTAACCTTTCCCTGGTTGCCTGAAATGAGGTCTGGCCCTGCCTCCCAGGCTTTCCCAGGGTACAACCTGAGGGTGGGACAACTGCAGCCTCACTTACTCCCTCTAATCCAAGGGATGGGAATGGTGGGTCCGAGTCCCAATGGGCCGCTGCCTGCCTTGGATCCCATTTCCCCAGCCCTCCTCCCTGTGAAGCCTTTTGGGAAGGGGTGTCAAACCTGTTGCCCAGGGGCCGGGTCAGACCCCCAGAGGGCTTCTATCAGACCCTCAATGGAACTGGCTGTCCTCTGCTTCTTCTTCCAGTTCTGCTGCTGCTGCGTCATTCTAGGTTTGCAGCTTACAGATACATACCTGAACAGCATACTCAGGATTGCAACAGCACAGATGTTTTGATGCAGTAATTCAGAGCAAGAGGTGTCAGTTATCAGACACTGTTAAACAAAATATTGCAAGAGTGCTAAGCATGTTTTATTTTAAGTTTTTTTAAAAAGCCTTAATTGTGTTTGTGTTCTTTATAAAGTTTATATCTCTGCTACCTGGCATTACATTTTATGACACACATGGCCCGGCCCAACAAGGTCTCATTTATGTCAGATCTGGCCCTCATAACAAATGAGTTCGACACCCCCGATATAGGGCTTCTCCACTAGCCCCTGCTGGCCTAAGGCAGTCACTGCATCCTGTTCCCAGCCCTGCCCTTCCAAAGGAGCCTCCCTGGCTTGCACAAGGGATAAGGAATGCTGCGCCTCTGTCACTCTTGTTGCCTTGTGCCTCTGCTGCCAGCCCTCAGACGCTGACAACTGGCCAGCTCCTGGACTCCTGAGTCAGGTGTTTGGCAGGGACCTGGCCTGCCACAGCACCCTCCCTGCTGCGGCCTTCTCATTGGGCTGCCTTTTTGTAGCTGTCTCCGTCAGCCTTTCCCAGATGGACACTACCTTCCCCACCTTGTCCGGCATTGCAGTGAGTAAAGAAGCTGTTCCTGTGACATCGGGTTGGGCTTTGGTGATCCTTCCTTGAGGCAGGCCCGTAGCCAGGATTTTTTAAGTCAGGGGGCATTTAAATTTCTTAGGGGGCACTGGCTAATTGAAGGCTCCTTTCGCGTCCACCTAGGGGCCCTGGGCTGGATGGGAAGTCATGGGGCCTTGCTACTAAGTCAGGGGGCCTAGCCCCAAGATGCCCCACTGTAGCTACAGGCCTGCCTTGGGGGTTCCCCCAGTGCAATCTGGAGACCTCCACCTTCTTGGAAGTAAGTGCGAGAGTAGGAGGTCTGACTAGGGTTGCCAAATGTTACCTACCTTGCCGGCGGGGGACTCCAGCGCGGCTCCCGGTGTGTGCCACATGCACATCACAGGGAAGTGACGTCATGATGCCGGGCATGCTGGGGGCGGGGCCACAACCATACAAGGGAAAACCATAAAGTTTTCCCTTGTATGGCCGTGGCCCTGCCCCCAGCGTGCCCGGCATCATGACGTCACTTCCCTGTGACGTGCACGCTGGGGTGGGGTTCCCCCCGGGGCCCGATTCCCCGGCGTCGGGGAACGGGCCTCTGGGGCAGGGGGATTTCTGCCCCCCGGGGGATTTGGCAGCCCTAGGTCTGACCCTGGACAAGGGCCAAGGGTGAGTCAGCGAGAAAGATTAGCTGTTCCAGCTCTGAGATGGAGGTCGAAAAGGAGCAGTGGTGGAGGCAGGGCTGCTGAGGGGTTGGGCCTGGGAATATAGCCTGGGATGCTCTCATAATCACCCTGGCACAATGCCAGTAATCTTTCTGGAGGCTTCAGAAACAACTAGAATTATGGGAAGAGTAATAAAGCGAAGTGTTTTCATGCAGCCATTTTCTAAGAAATTGAAAAGTTTGAGTGAGCAGTTATGGTAAGCAGTTTCCCCTCTCCTTTGTTCCACAAATAGGGTTGCCAGCTCCTGGTTGGGAAATACCTGGAGATTTTAGGGGTGGAGCCTGGGGGGGGGATGGTTTCAGGAAGGGAGGGTCTTTTGCAGGGTATAATGCCACAGAGCCCACCCTCAAAAGTAGTTTTCCTAGATGAACAAATCTCCATTGTCTGGAGATGTAATTCCAGGCCCCACCTGGAGGTTCGCAACCTGTCCATGAAGAACTAGCAGGCTGCTTCCATCACACATATGTCTCCTTTAAATGTGTGTGTATGGAGGGCTCAGACCTTTCTTCCAGTGACTCAAGGTAACCAGGGCCAGAGGTCTTGGGCAGCAAAATGTCAAGAGGCAGCACTTGAAGTTAACTGTAAATTAGCAACATTCTAGTCTGAACTTTCCTCCTCAAAGAAGCTTTCAGGTTTTGCAGTGAGAACTCTCTTTGTCAGCATCGCCAAACAAGCTTCTTTCTTCTCTCTTTGAAAAATGCATGTAATCATAAAGTGAATCTAAAAGCACTGAAGATGACAGAGAACAGGCTACAATGCAGCTGGCATACGACAAGAGCTTCAATATGTAAAGTGGATACGTCTCCATATTCTTGAGTGTGTCTAAACGGCCTTGTCAGTTACATACGCAGCTGTGCAATGGAGCTGAGCAGTAAGTTTACAGCATGTGGTTCTTTCCATCGACTGGGAAGGAGAACAACAGTAATCCAGCAAGGAAGGGAATCTGGAGGAACAGAAATTAAATTGATGCTTTCTTTATGTCAGCTATGACAGACTTCCACAGAAAAAAAGATAGAAAAGGTGTATATATATATTTTTTTTTAGCTTAATTGCACCAGCGTAAACATAGTTCTGTCTTGAAACAAGCTATTGTTTTAAATGATTCATTTATGGGGAAAGGTTTATTTTTCCTTTTGAATCGTAAGAATACAGTATGTAAGCTCTCTCTCAGCTCCTTCTCTTCCCTTACAACACTCCCTTTATACATCGTATGAAAATTGACCTCCTCAGTCTGCAGACTTTTTTTTTTATCAACTTCTGAAAGGTGTTTATCATTGTTATAGAGAACTGTACAACCAAGATGTCATGCTGTGGATGTTGTCTCTACTACATAAGAACATTTAATAGAGCACAGAAATGTAACATTTGAGCAAGCATAGCATAGCATAGGTCACTGTTGCAGTGACGTTATAAAGGACAGGTGAAAAGCAATGTAAATGTCTAATTTGAAGGTATCCTCATAGATCAAAAACTTGTGGCTGTGTCATTACACCATTATTAAGATTAACTTTGACATGGATAGCCCAGGTTAACCTAATCTTGTCAGATCTTGGAAGCTAACCAGCAATAGCTGCTATTAGTACTTGGATGAGAGACCACCAAGGGAATTCTGAGACGGAGTGGTGAGCACAACATGGCTGCCACAGGAGACGTAGCCAACCACAAAATGTCAGGTGTGTGGTTATGCTTAACTTTGTTGGATTGTGACCAAAGGCTTTAGAAGATTCCTAACTGGCTTGTCTTTGGTTTAACACAGAGGGAAAAGTCAAACAGAACAAAACAGCTACTGTTGTAAAAGCAGGTAGGAGCTATTTTTTTTCTATAAAATATTCATAAAGTTGAGCCATTACATATACATTAGTATATAGATCTATATTTTGGAAAAACCACAACTTCTTTGAAGGAATTCCCAGGTATTAACTAGGCTGAGGCGTTCTTAGCTTTAAGAATGTGGCAGCACTAAAAACACAAACAAACCCTCTTTCTTATGTAGACTTCTGTATCTGCCATCAAAGGGCATGTTTCACAGTTCTAATGCTGTGGATTCTAGTCCACTTGTTTCATAATGAATGTTAGTCTATAACAGGAGTCCCCAACCTTTTTGAGCCTGTGAGCTCCTTTGGAATTCTGACACGGGGTGGTGGGCACAACATGGCTGCCTAGGGCTGCCAAGTGGGGGCGGGTGGCGGGTAAACCCCCGCTTTGGAGGCCCGATTTCCGCCGCCGCGAAATCGGGCCCCGGGGGGAACTCCATCTCTCGAAGCGCAGCATGGCTGTGTCACCAGAGGTGACGCAACCACATCAATCACGTTGGGGGCGTGGCCCCAATCGCCAGAGGGAAAACTCTATGGTTTTCCCTCCAACAATCGGGGCCACGCCCCCAACATGTCGATGTCGCGCGTCACTTCCGGTGACGTCCTGGCGGCACACGTGCGCACGTCCACCGACAGCTCCCGGAGCCCGGCGAGGCTCCCCCGCCACCCCTTGGCAACCCTAAGGCTGCCACAGGAGATGGAGCCAACCACAAAATGTCTGGGAGTGAGGTTATGCTTAACTCTAATAAAAACTCTTCAATATTTCTGGCACAAACACTGCCTAACAGGATGCTTTTTAAAATGAACATGTTGTTTTTAAAAAATTTCTTGCATATGCACAGCTAACCTTCAGTCATGCAGTGAAGATACTTGTGCTTTGGTGGCAGCAGCTGCTGAACTCATTTAAAAACAAAACTGCACAGCCAACCAGATCTCCAGTG